CTGAAAATAACCCAGCTTTCTTGAGCCCCAGGTATAGTGTTGGGCCTCACTGTTGCTGCATACCACTGAAAAGCTATGAGTAGTTGGTGTTCCTGAGATGTGCTGTAAAATCCCATTGTAATGGAGTCTGGATAATGGGAAGGCATAAAGATTATGTCTTTTCTTACAGTCTTTTTAGTGATTATAAAAAATGTGACTTATCCCTATCTGTTTATGCTCCTGAACTGACTCTAGCAAATCAGTTCATCATTATAGCACAAGAATCTTATAAGACATATTCTGAAATGTAAGAAAGTCAATCAAATATCATTAGATGAAGTGTTTTTCTGTAAATATTATATAATAATTATCTTTATATTCTTAAAAACTCCTGAAAAGCTTGACTACTATTCCTATGCTCACCTTGGAGTATGGAATGGTTTTTAGTATAAAGCTTTCCCTTGCTTACCAGTCCCTTTTGTTTTCAGATGGGAAACTTTATTCCATATTGAAGATACCAAACTCAGCTATGTGTAGTTACAAAATCTTAATAATTTTGTTTTCCATCTTTTAGATACTGCTTATATTCTTTATATTTAAGATATTATTGCTGCTTTTATTTTATGAAAAAATACAAAATGTCATAACAAAATAATAAGGATAGCAATACATGTTTAGCAAATTGCCATACATGTGCTTATAGCTATTGATAGGAAGTGTAATTTGAGATTGTCGTGTAGGTATAGTTCTTTATTTTGTAACAAAATATTTTGATGTTTGGAAGACAGAATATGTTTTTGTGAACAACATCAGGGTGCTTGAGTGAGTTTAGGCAAGCAGAAAGCTTACAGCTCTCCTAAAATCAATTGTGTAAGAACTTGTTTCTTCTTCTTGTAAAGTTGAAGACATTGGCACTTTTCAAATAGTGACAAACATGCTATTTTAAAAATGTTCTGACTATTTACAAAGACTTAGGTAAATACTTTTATAAACAGGGAAGGGTGGAGAGGGTGAAGGGAAGGCAGGGGTAGGGGGAAAAAACAAGAACCAAAATATATCACGTAAAGGTACAAGATCCTGATGATAACTGTAATTGTCTTGTTTACTTTAAATGTACCAATAAACTTAATGGAAAAAACAATGTTCTGACTTTTGAAATTCTTATTGTTCAGAAAATTGGAAAAATCAGTGTTGAAAGTATTTTTAAATGTACTCTCTCATTGGCTAATATTATTACTTTTTTTTTTTTTAAAAAGTCTGCGATGAAACCCTATACTGAAACCTAAATAATAGTTTAAGGCTTGCCTCATTAAATAATATATTGGGTAGAGTAACTTTTTAAATTTATTAATTTTTAAATTTTTAATTTTAAATATGCATGGCTAGCATTTCAAAATGCTTTAAAATTATTGATTTAATTTTTCTTTATTTAATCTTTTAATGTCTGTTTTTATTATTAAATTTGTTTTTTATATTTTGTTTGTTTCAGTGAATAATTATTTTACAAAAGATGTTACAGAGTACACAAATATTATAGATATATCTTAATTAAATGGCACATTCTGAATAACTGAAGGAAGCACTGTATTTTAAATGTTACATGCATATACTTAAGCTGTATATTTACATTTCCTAGGTAAATTTTTAAATCAAATGTGGGGATTGACTTTTGGCTCTCAGAAAACTGGAACTGAAGTATTTGTAACTTTTCCTCTCATTTAAGCACAATTTAAGATTCTGAACAATGTATATAGCAAATACATAAAGACATTAAAAGGTAGCATTGAGCTGACCATCAGTGAGTTCAGAACCTTAGGAAGGGCATGGTAGTCAAAAACCAGAAATTTGTGTTTTTGCTTATCTGTACTGATTGGATAAAATTTTGCAATTTGTTCTTTCTCCTATTTTTATTAAGTAATAAATAGATTGATAGGTTTGTTTTGCTGTTTATTATTTTATCTATAGTGAACTTTCCATGAACTGTTCATTTTGGTTTTTACTTTTTACTGGATATCTTAGTTTCTTTCACAGTGTTACACTGAAGCTTTTGCAGAACTCCCAACAGTTGTTTTAACTTGAAAACAAATAGGTAATTGTGGAATTTTGGCTGGTAAATAGTAAAAAAAGAGAAACACAAGCTGAGACATCTTGTTATCAAGACGCCTTTATGGTTTTTCGTTTCATTCTTGCTTCTGTGTGCATCTGGGACTATGAGCTTGACCACTTTGGCCATTGTAACTAGTTGTGAATCCATTCATCTCTGTACGAAAGAAATCCAGGGTGACTAGTTCAGTGGGGACTGCATGTTGCTGCTGGGAGTATTCCTACTTTCGCCTCTCAGACACTTTGATACATTTAAGTTTTTTTTTTAAATCTGAAAAGTTTGATGTATATTTACTACTTCAGAAACAAACCCCTTAAGCCCCATAGAATACTTTAATAGAAAAAAATAGATGAAAGAAAGAAATGGGGTTAGGTTAAAAGTATTATATCATTCAAATATAACTAAGGAAACACTCTAGAAAAAAACTTACATTTCAAAATATGGTTTACATTTCAAAATTATTATTGTTGTGCAGTTAATACACTAAATTTCTTTTGACACAAGAAGCAATTCTCTGTTGTTGGTGGGAGTGCAGAATGGTGCAACCACTATGGAAATCAATATGGAGATACTTCAAAGGACTAGAGGATCCATTTGACCCAGCCATAGCTCTGCTGGGAATCTTTCCAAAAAAATTAAAAGAATCATACCACAGTGATATATGCACACCCATGTTTATAGCAGCACAGTTTGTAATAGCAAAAATTTGGAAACAGCCCATTGGCCCATCAGTTGGAGACTGGATAAAGAAGATGTGGTTTTTCTATAAAATGGAATACTATTCAGCCATAAAGAATAGGAAATTAGATTCATTCATAAGAAAATGGATGCATATTGAGGCTATACTCCTAAGTGAAATATATAAGTCACAAATGTGTAAATACCAAATAGTTTATTTGGTGTGAACAAACTATAATAGTACATAAGATCCTAATGAGATAATTGACAATGTAAAATAGGAAGAAAAGGGCTCAAGGTGTAGGGAAAGTGGGATGGGTAGGAGAAAGGTAATAAGGGAAAGGAAAAAAAGGAGAAAATGAAAAAATGGAAATAAAATGTTTGTAAATGGGGAGGGGAAGTGGCAGTGAAGAGGGTAGAGACAAGGGGACAAAATGAGAACCAAGACCTGTCATGTAAAGGTACAAGATCCCAGTGATGAATGTAACTGTACTGTATGCCTAAAATGTACCAAAAAACTCAATGAGAAAAAAAGAATCAATTCTGAGTTCTTAAGAATTAAAATAAATTTTGAATCTGATACATGGGTTCATGCATACTGGATGTACTAAAATATAGAGATACAGAAATAAGGCATAGGACTTATCTCTCATATTGATTACATTTTTTTTTAATTGCTGCAATCTTGGTGGCCTAAAGAGCATTCCTTTGTAATCTCAGTTTCCTTGGGTCGGAATGGGCACAGTTGATTTCCTCGTTCAGGATCTCACCAGACTATATTATCAGGTGGAACATGGGATTTTTTTTCCCCTCACGCTTATTTAAGTGGTTGGCAGAATCCAGTTCTGTAGGACTGTGGGTCGCACTTTCTTGTCTACCAGACAAATGTTGCTCTGAGCTGTATCCAGCTGTGAGAATATTTAGGCATGTGATTTTCTCCCCCATACAACTACTTACTTCTTTCAGGCCAGCAGCAGAATTTGTCCCAGTCTAATTCTCTGACCTTTTGTAAATGTTTGCACCTGATGAAGTCTGGACACCCAGGATAGTCATCAAATTGATTATCTTAAAACTAAATTAAATGATTTTGGATATTGCATTTACACAATCCCTTTAACTTTGTCATCTCATGAGCCTCATCCCTGTAGCATAAGCTCAGTGTATAGTCAAGACTATATAGGAGTGGGGATTTTGAGTGCCTTCTCAGAATTATTCTTACCACACCTTGGAAACTCTATTCTACTTTAGGGTTCCCAACTTGATTATGATTCAGATTTTTCTGCGAAGCTCTTAAAAGTGTGTATCTATAGGCATAAGAATAAATCTGAGTCACATTCAGAATCAAAATATATCTGCTGAATCTAATGTATATTTTCTATAAATTGCATCAGCAACTCCTCCACAGGCAGCCCCACTAACATGGAAACGCTGCTAATCGCTACTCTACGAAATGTAGGTATCACACCTAGTTATCATTTTACTATAGTATTAGAGTCTTTTTAACACTGCAGTTAAATTTGTGAGGGGACAAGTAACATAAATGGGATAACTAAAAATTAAGTGGCAAATGCAGAAACGTCTAGTGAGCCTCGGGGATGAGCAGGTTGTTGATCAAACGTGAATTGTGTTGCCTCTTACAGGTTCAGCACTGTTCTACTGCAGACCTGGGTTAATACCTAAGTCTACTAAAAAAATCATTTCTTTTCGGCATCAAATCAATAGGTGATTCCTTACGATAAGTGCTTTTAAATATTATCACTAATCTAAACTTGAGGTCTTGGTATTAATAGTTTAGTTTCAAATGCCAAGTGTTGGAAAGTGAAATTTTGGGCAAATTACCAAATACGTTTTTTTTTTTTTTTTTTTTTTTTTTTTTGGTAATAGGGATCTAGCTCAGGTCCTTGTGCTTGCGAGGCAGGCGGTAGAACCACTGAACTAAATCTCCGGCCCACTAAATACTCTCTTGCTTTTCCCTTCAAGTCAATAAAGTATGCTCTATAGAGCTTGATCTTGTGGCACTAGCCATTTGGAAAATATTGTCTTATTTCTGCTCTTCATTCATGAGGACCAGAGCTATTCCTAGAAGTTGATGAAAAAGTGTGGTGAAATTGGATATAAATGTGCTCTGTATAAATGTATGCATCATGGGTAAAGGGAATACATTTCCTATGTACATTTCATTGCTTCTATTTTGAATATTCATAGGATTTATTTTTCTTTTTTTCTATTTTTTCTCTAGACTGCCTTCCAGAATGTTAAGATTGCCAGAGAAGTGATTACAGCAAAGGAAAACATTGCTCTACCTAAATTCAAGTAAGATAATTACATTATAATAAATTATTGTGAGTTCATCAATGAAAAAAATAATTTCTCTACTTTTTTAAGATAATTGTTTTCTTTGATATTAGGCTTTTTGAAGCCTCTTTATCTGTTTTGGAAATATCAGTTTTCTTTATACCCTAATGCTTGGTCATAGTTAGATTGTATTTCAGTAGATATTTTTTACAATATCCACTTAAACACTTATATTAAGTGAATTTTTTTCCCCTCAACAAGCATCATTTAGGAGAAGGAGAAGCATCTCCATTAGCTTCTGAAAGGTCTCCTTTCTCGGGTACAAGATCAAAGCCCCCCTCACTGAGACAAGACCTGAGTGTCATGCTGGAGGGAGCCTGGGAGTCCTAGAGATGAGGAGATAAGCAGGAGTCCTTGGGAGGCTCAGCAAAGGTGTTTCCTGACATGCAGCGGAACTGTCATGTTCTCCCTTGTTTGTCATGAACAATGGATGACTTCATGAAAAAATTAGTAAAATGAACCAAATGCACCTTCAGAAATGGTATGTGAGTCAGCAGAGTGAAAAACCCATATACCATGATGGTGTCCCTGGCCTTGTGCCAGGACAAGTGTCTCCTTAGGAAGGAATCACACTGTGTTTTGAAGGGAAAATTTGGAATAGGAGTTATTAATCAATTTTCCTAATATTTCTCATCATAATTTTGAGGCCTTATGTCCTAAACTGCAAAGACTTGGAATGTGCCTTTAGTGAAAATCAGAAAACTCACTTCATCTTAATGTTCACCAATTGCTACTACTGATAACTGCATTGTATACATATTGATGCAGCAGATATACTTCAATATAATATAGAAATAATGAGAACCTTCAATATATTTCCAAGTGCTATGACAATCATGGCGTATTAAGACTGGATTCATCCACAAAGATTAGAGGAGAGCTCTGGCTAGGTTCTGAAAGCCATTGCCAACCTCAGAGGTACCTGGGTTACAAGTGTGCAAGTGTCAGGATCATTCTACCTACTGAGCATTCTGTTGGAGTAGATAAGAGCTAAAGTTTCCAAATGGTTTTTCCTAGCTGGATTTCTTTCATAGTTTGTCTTTTTGTTCCAAACAGATCAAAGGGAAATTATGCAGAAGCTCAATAGATAAAGGAGAGCTACAAGAAGCCCTTTCATTGGGGGTAGGTCAGGGTGATGTAGGACTTGGCTTCCCTTCCACTATCTCGCTTACCTCTCTGAATTCTTTCCTCAATCCCCAAGTCTCCAGAGTAAACAGACATCATCACTTCTTTGTACGCTGTGATTCTTTGTTTGTTCAGTCCTTCATTTGGAAGTACATGTGGAAGAATTAACTGAAGGACATAGACAGCCCACGATTCAAGTGGGGCTTATAAAATTACATGTCGCTAGTCATAAGTGGAAGTTATTGTTTGCCATTGCTTGAAATTTTCCACCATGACGTATTTCTGTCTTTGCCTTTACTTCTTCCCTGTGCAAAGCCCACTTTATATAATTTTAAAGGTCATACACTATAAATTTTGATTAAAGCACAATAAATAGAATAGCATTTGCCCCTTATCCACATCTTCACATTCCATATTTTCTCTTACTGTGGTTTAGGCATCTGCCGTGGACTATAGCTCGAAAATATTAAATAGCAATAACCAAAAATAGACAATTCATAAATTTTAAATATCACATTGTTCTGAGCAGTATGTTGAAATCTTGAAGTGTGCTACTTAGTGCCAGCTGGAACATGGTTCTTCCTTTTACCATAGTATACATATACTATAGTCTACCCACCCTTTAGTTACTGAGTAGCTGTCATGGTGATCAGGTTTCCGTTCCAGTATTAATTGCTTGTCTAAAAGTAACCCTTACTTTAAAAATCCTTCTAATAGCCCCAAAGCACAGATGTAGCGATAGTGACAATTTTATTACAGTGCAGTATCATAATTTTTCTATTTTATTATTGGTTATTACTGTACCTAATTTTTAAATTCAACTTCACTGTGTGTGTAAGAAAAATATAGTATACATACATAATTGAGTATTATTCACAGTTTCAGGAATCTACTGGGTGCTTTGGAACATATCCTTCATACCTAACAAGTTACAGTTATGTGTTTTCCGTGATGAAATGGAAAAGGGCAGTTGTAAAGGGAGTAAACGAAATTCACTTGAAAGTTGTTGCTTCGCTTCTCAAAGAACCTTCTTAACAAAATTGCATAAGTGAGAACCAAGACCTGTCATGTAAAGGTACAAGATCCCAATGATGAATGTAACTGTACTGTATACCTAAAATGTACCAGTAAACTCAATGCAAGAGAAAAAAAAAGAAAATTGCCAAAAGTAATTCACATTTTACTTTTTATCTCTGAGAGGATTGCAAGTGTTTCTGTATCTTCTTAAGTATTTATCTTGATCTCATATGTTTTATTACTGCACACATTTGCTCCTATTTAAAGCCAGACTTTCTCCACTTCTATGTGGAGATAGCCCCAGGATCAAAAGCAGCCTGCATGCCCTGGGTGCCAGCAGCTGTTACAGCTGGACTGTCAACTTCTGCCTCGTGTTTACAGCCTTTTTACGTGGCTAGCGGAAATCTCAGCCCTCCAGAGCACTTTCTTCTTGCTAGAACATGATAAGTGTTTATAAGTCCTTAAAATGGAACGTAAATATTTAATATTTTAAGCCTAAATTTTATGCTGTTGTTTCTTTTCTGTGTTTGGGGGATATTTGGAGCATCTGACCTTTAGTTTAATTAGTCTTTCCACAGTCTGTCTACACTTTATGTTACTGTAACTGCTCACAGGATGTGATTTCTGTTGGTCCATTTACCACCAGAATTGTTGTTCAAATTCCTAGTCCTTTCATGCAGGTTTGTGGTGTTACAGAATTATTGACTTTACTGGTAAAAACATCTCGTTTTCTAGGGTTGCTGACTGTGCTGTTTAGAATGAATACAATTACAGAAAGATCAAATGTAACCATGATGATCCTTAATCCCAAGACTATGAGAGTTTAAAGAAAGTAACTATAGTTTCTCTTTGTGTCCCCATGGTTTACTCTCAGGCTAAAATGTAAAAACATAAGGAATCCCAATAAATATTTCAGAAAAATTAATCAGTTGATGAGATTCTCTGGCACTACATTCTGTGCATCTCAAATGCTTTCTCCTATGGTTGAAAAAAGACTGGCTGAGCTATATTTTTTAAAGACTGGCTGCACTTTTTAAAAAGTCTGTTTGGTTATTTTCCTTTCTATCTCTCAGTCAGCAGAAATAGACTTTATGCAAGTTCTTTGTGTTACTTCTCTTTTTGAGAACATTGGTCCGGACTGCTTGGGCTTGGTAATACCTTTTCTGCCTATTCAGGAAATTTTGATTGTGAAGTTTGGTAATTCTACCAAAGTAAAAACCATCAGCGGCCTCTCAGGTCTAAAAGCATGGACCTGTGTCTACCCATGAAAAAGATTCAAAAATAATATTTAGGTCACCATCAGATACCTTTGGCAATAGCAGAAAAACAACAAAAAGTTCTAAGAAATATTCTCATAAATATCAGCACGCTGAGTGCTGGTCATTGTGGCAAAGCATCAGAACAGAATTAGAAGAATCCTGCAATATATCATTTAAAATGTTAGAAGCAGGTGGTATTTCCCTATGAGCGTGGACCAATTGGTAGACTCTTCACATCACCCAGCCGCCTGCTTCCCAAATCTCATCTACTGCTCTGGTTTTCAAGTTGCAACAGCCCTGATAGTTGTGAACACCCTCTCAGTGATTATGAAGCCTTAGATGCAGTCAAGGTCTCATTTCCTGACGTCTCTGACTGTCTCCCCTGTCCCGGACGCAGAGGCTACTCTGTGGCACAGTGCCCATCATGATTGCCATAGAAGAGGAGCCCCCACAGCGAGGACGGTAGCTCTACCCCAGGAAGGCCCACGGAGGCCTTGTTGCTCAGAAGTCCTGGTTGCAACCAGCAAAAGCTCAGATTCTAATAAAGTCATGGGGTTAAACCTACAAAGTAAAACTGAGGGCTGAATCTGTGGGTGTTTCCATTGTAACCTTATAGGGCCCACATAGACCTCAGGTTTAGACTACAATACCCTAAAATACAATCCTGAGTGTTGAAATTCTGAAATATCAGTATCTCTAAATCTAAAATCTCTAGATTTTAATATCTAGAAAGATCAAACTTTTGAAAATATGATTTTACAAAAAGTAAATGGGACTTCTTCTTATTAAAAAGCTTCTGCACAGCAAGAGAAGTCACCCCAGTGTGAAGAGTCAACCCACCATAAGGGAAAAAAACTTTACCAGCTGTTCCTAAGACAAAGATCTACTATCTAGACTATATAAAGAGCTTAAAAAAATCAGATCTCCCAAGTTTAAAGACCCAATCTAAAAAATGGGCATATAAATTGAATAGACATTGTTCAGACAAAGATGTAGAAATAGCAAATAAACACATGAAAAAAATGTGCTCAACATCACTGGTCATTTGAGAGATGCAAATTAAAACAACTCTGAGATTCCATATCATGCCAAAAAGAATGGGTGCTATAAAGATGATAAGGGAAGAGAAAAATATGAGAAAATGAAGAAATGGAAATGAACTGTTTGTAAATAGGGAGAGAGGAGGGGTGAAGGGAGGGCAGGGACAAGGGGAAAAAATGAGAACCAAGACCTGTCATGTAAAGGTACAAGATCCCAATGATGAATGTAACTGTATGGTATCCCTAAAGTGTACCAATAAACTCAATGAGGAAAAACAAAAAGCAATCAACCAATATCAATTGCTGGCAGGGCTGTGGGGAAAAGAGAACCCTGCTCTACGGTTGGTGGGATTGCAGATTGGTGCAACAACTGTGGAAATCACTTTGGAGATACCTCAAACAACTAAGATTAGAGGTCCCATTTCACCCAGCTATTACTCTGCTGAGTATCTTCCAAAATAAATTAAAAGAATCATACCACAGCAGTATATGTGAACCCATGTTCATAGCAGCACAA